AAAAAGTAGGTTTCTTTCACCACCATTTTATCTTTTTGCTGAAATGATTGAATCTGCTGCTTAAGGAAAGCATTCAATAACATCTATTTCAGCCAAATAAGGAAGTCAAAAGCTACCTTATAGAGCTGATCAGCAGAATAAGTCGATTTTGGCTGGCTACAAATGGCACCTTAGTCTCATCATCATCATCATCATCATCATCAAATCTGCCTCTGTTTTGTTTCCCCTTTGTGCAAGAACACATTTATGTATATTCCTCATTATACTCTTTCTGAAATTGGAATGATTTTTGGCGCCTTATTCAAATATGTTCATATTCAGCGCAGAATCTTCACTTTTGCTTTCAAATCCACTCATGTTCGGAATGAATTCAATTCTATATATATGTTCATTAGGATTCAAGATAGCCAAGATCTTTGCACTTACAAAGTCTTATTTTGTTCTCCCGCCTTCCTGTAAATAGATTCTTGGTTCATCATTCTTAATCTGTTCAGGAATTTGTGATTTCACTACCAAAGGTAATGTTCTCAAGGCGATTGAGCAAACAGAAAAACTTGCACCAGAAATCCTGGATATGAACAAGGATTTACATTTTGATCTACTCAGCCTTCATTTTGTTGAACTAGTGGCCTCAAGAAAAAGGTGAGCATCTGCAGGATGAATGTTCCCAGAGAGAAGTGGATTTTCTTCTATTGAGTCTGTGATCATAGTTTTCTTTCTTTTTTGTACCAGCATAGAAGCTCTTGAATTTGCTCAGACAAAGATGGCTCCTTTTGGGAAGGTCCATACTTATGTTGAAAAGCTTGAAGTATGTATATGTTCTCCTGAAACAGTTACATATTACTCTGTATTTTTCTTGTTGCCGTTGCTGGGTGTTTTTTTTGTTTGGGTGTCAAAAAGGGAGTATGTTACTTGCAGGACTTCATAGCTCTCTTGGCCTATGAGGAACCAGATAAGTCACCCATGTTTCATCTACTTAGCTTGGAATATCGACAGCATGTTGCAGACAGTTTGAATAGGGCAATCCTCGGTTGGGTTTTCTATTTCTTTTGTTTTAGTATTGGTCATCATTATTATTTTTAAATAAAATCTTCATTCCCCCCAAAAAACTAACTGACTTCTTGCATTCTTTCCGGTGTTGACTGGGCAGCACATGAAAAGCGCCCCAGCTATTCAGCAGTGGAAAGGTTAATACAGCAGATAACGGTGGTAAGACAATCCTTAAACCAAGATCCTGCCGGAAAGGTTTGAGCCCGACCTCTACTTGTTATTATAATCTAACTGATCTTAGTTAGTATCCTATCAGAAAAAATTAAGGTAATGGTGCCATTACCACGTTGAAATAGTTCATTACGCTGAATTTTCTGGAAAAAAGTGTTTGGTAAACACACCTGTTTCAGCCAAATAATAAGCAAGCAAAAAGCTCTACGTATTTGCATATATTCTGAAGCAGAATTTTAAGCATGAACTGGCTACCAAATGGGCCTGAGTTTGTAATTCAACACTAATAGTCTGCAAACCCATTTTAGTTTTGTGATGAGTGATAGGTACTTGTGTTTTGCCGATTTGTAGGAGGGCAGCTCAGTTTTTTCTTTCAAGGACTTTATCATGGGGAGCTAGTAGTAGTGGCTGGAAAGTAATTGGGAAACTTCAGTATAGCCCCTCTTTGCTGCTCAACTTCAAAGAACTGGCTTTGTATAATGATGCACTTTGTGATATATTATTAGCTTTACTTAGAATTTCTATTGCTCAATTTTGTGTGCATTCTTCTCTCTTACCCTGTTGAAGTTCATACTTTATCATCATGTGTTGAATATTTTTACTTCCAAGTTCCAAAACAGCAACTCTTGAATTTGATTATTGTAACATTATCATTATATGATGGAATAAATCAAAATGTCTCACTAAACTGTCTGTGCTTCATTGTTATGAAGCAACAGTAAGTCCATGCAATTTTGGACGCGATTTTCACCATGGGTCATCCGGAAACAGTCTCTCTGTGCTTTAGTACAGGAGTAAGATTGCGTACATCTGATCCCCTTACCTCATCGTAGGTGGGAGCTTTTGCGGCATTAGGGTAAATGAAAATGATGAATGATGAATTGATGAACATTATTATTGTAGGCTTATACTTCCTCTGTTTTTTTTATTTGCAACATTCACTTTTTCACGTTTGACGATGCACAACTTTGACCCTCATTATATTCAATTTTGTAATTTTGTATTAGTAAAAAATAATTAAAAAACCGATTATGAAACTTTATAATGAGAAGAATTCAAAGATCTTTAAAAAAAAATTCACATACATTAATAAATAAAATGTAGTCAAAGTAGAGTACATGAATAGTGTGTAATTTGCAATGTTGCAACTAATGCGATACGATAGTATACCATAAAGCCATAGAATCAATCCATGTTATCCTCTTACGTGGAAAGATATCGTGGACTTCGTTTCATTTTTTGATGGTAGGAAAAACTATCAAATAGGTGCTCGAACTTTCATAAAAAAGTCAATTAAGTCCTCTATAGGAGACTCTGTCCAGTCGTCGTGATTTGAGGCGGTTCCCGGTGGATTTTTTTGATGAAATTTTTTGAACATCTTATTCATCAAATCTAGTTTACTCATACAAAGCATGTCATTTATTTGAGAGAAGATACAAAAAGAAAGAAATTTTGGATATTTTTACTTGGACTAAAATTTTCTACTTTAATCTGGTCGTGTAACATTTGATCTTAATGCATTTTATAATTGTCAAAGTTTAATCTGAGATTGAAATAAATTCAATTAAAAACATTCTTATTCAATATGTAAAGTGTGTAAAGACACAACACAACTACACAAGTAAGAGATTTGTTTAGAGTATTAAAAAGGTTTAGTAATAAAAGTTTAGAGTACTGAAAGTGATTCAAGTTGCTTTATTTATGCAATAAGTTGGTGATAAAGAATATGTATATTATGACTCAAAGGGTGAAATGTGTTAGAATAATTCATGAACATGCTTTGAAATATTTTAAGGAAACTCTTACCGCCCTATCTCCGTCCTATAAAACTTGATCATACGAACTTACGAAGTACTCCGTATTATTTTTTATTGGTCAAAGATAGTCATACTTGAGCAATGATAATTAATACTCCGTAATATGAAATTATTTAAAATGTGAAAATGTTCTATTAAAAATTAAAAATACTTTTATAAGCTATAGATTTAAAAAATTTGCACAAATGTAATAACTAAAATCATTGATCAAAAAAGGCCAATTTGATCAAATTTTTATGAGATATAGCGAATACAATCAATACAAACAAGTCTTGTTTATCTGTGAACGAGCTTCACCGATAAAAAAAGCCTTCTCCCATACGGTGGGGTACAAGTAGCAAACTTGTATTATTAAGTTATAAATGTCATTTGACTGCCTTCCCGGTTTTTCTTTCTGTATCTTCTCTCAAATAAATGTCATGCTTTGTTCTTTGATGAAACACTCGATTAGTGGAAATGTGTATGACAGTTATCTTATCGCACCATATATACCTAATACCTTAACAGACATTGGTGTATATCAATCCGTCAATAAATAATGTATCCATTATCATATCATCTCACACGTAAACTATGACATTCCAATTAAGTGCTAAATTCAATTTATGTCAATCACATGGAGTGAATTTAGCACTTAATTGGAAAACCACATTCTGCTTTTATCATCTACTTTTGTCATCTTCATATCTAACTCAGCATATGCAAAAAAAACTATTATCACGTAGTCATGGTTTTGATAAGAGGGAATTTGAGTTTGCACTCCATTTTATTGTCCAAATTGGATTTTGCACCCTGTTTTTTAAAATCTTTGTATTTGCACTCCAACCCCTTATGAAAAGACAAAAATGTCTCTCCATTAACAAATTTTGTTGGCCTTCAACATATTCTTGATTGAGGGGCATTTTTGTCCTTTCACAATGGGTTGGGGTGCAAATACAAAGATTTTGAAAAACGGAATACAAAGTCCAATTTAGACAATAAAATGGGGTGCAAATTCAAAATACCCTTTTTGATAACCAAACCATACCCTGTAACCCCGACGCTCCCGTTAAGTAACTGAACATATTTTCTACATCAGTCTAATGATCACCAGTAACTAAGCAATAATTGGACGAAAAACTTTGATATAACTCATTTGTTAACCAATATACGAAGTATCTTTTTTGAATCCTTAGATACATGCCTTTCTTGGCGAGCCGTCAAAATGGGCCGAAACCCGCGGGCTGACAAGTTTAAACCCATTTATTGGTGGGTTAAGGTTGTGAATTTCTGATCCATTTAGTTCGCGGGTTTAAGTGGTTGGCCCAACAAGTTACGGGTTTAAGTGGGTTGACCCAACGGGTTGCGGGTTGAACATATAGTTTTGACTTTTATTATCTTCAATGTTATGTTTTAAACTTTTAACTACCAAAAATATTATTGTTACAATTAAAAAAATTACAACAATTGCAAAATAATTATTATTTCTATAATAAACATTCAAATAAAATGTTGAAACATATATTTTATGTGAAGTTCGATGCAATATTTAGCAATTACTAGTCATGATTTACAAATAATCAATCAAAAGATTTAAATATATCTTTACATTTATACAATGAGTATTTTTGTTACATACCCTCAGCTCTTATAGTTTTCAAAATTTCTTATAACTAGTATTTAATATTTCTTATATTTCCAGGATATATACTCCTGGATAATTACTAATATAAATATATACTCCAGGATAATTATTTTTAAATTGGCCCGCGGGCCAACCCATTTAACCCACAGGTCGGGTTGGATTAGAGTTGTAGAAATTTTGGCCCATCACTAAATGGGTTGGCCCAACCCAACCACATAAAGCATAACCCGTCACGGGTCGGATCGGGTTGACCCATTTGACAGCTCTAGGCCTTGCTCCCAGTTTTAGTTGAGAATAATATGCCTATATTAATATATTTTACATCAAGAATCAAGAGATATTTTAATGAGCAAAGATCTTTCATCTCGAAATTGGCTCCAAAATAATCTTTAAGGGCAAAAAACCCACATTATCATTCCATGTGATCAAAATAACATCGACACACCACAATCGAGTAACACAGTGTCTACCTCTGTCTATAAAAGTTAGAACAATTTGATTGACATTTTATCATTACAAATGACTCAAATGAATCAATTGATTGTCTGAACATCCCAGTATCCCACATCATGCATGTGGGCTTTGTTTCATACCAATATACCATAAAGAGACTTGTGAAGTCGAACAACTCTCCCACACTCCTGTGAGCAACGAATCATGCAAGTTTCTTTATATCAAATCACTCTGGAAGATCACCAATGCAAGTATCAATCATGAGTTTCGGGAAGTGAGATATGTAAGTTGACATATGTTATTTTAGCAACAAGAGAAGACGTTCAAAGTAATCAACACTCAAAGTAAGTTTGAGTGTAACCCTTCACAACTAGTCGGTCATTTAACTAAGCAATGGATCTGTCTGAATTAATCGTAACACCATAGATTCACCTACATCCAATAGACCTCTTCCCTAGGGGCAAGTCTACCAAATCCGGAATACCATTAACTCCATTAAGATCCAAATAATTCATTTCCTCTATTGTGCCATTGCGCCAATCAGAATGAGACAATGTTTCCTTAACAAATTTTGAAACAAAAATGGAACCAATAGAGGCAATAAAAGAGCGTGAGGTTGGGGATATATGACTATAGGTCATAAAAGAAAAAACATGATGAATACAAGATTGTGTACCATTGCACAATGTTATAAGATATGTAGTAGAAACTTGACCTAATGATGAAGGTGTTGGTTCATGACATGAGATTGAGGCCGAATCAGGATAAGTAACCACAAGTGGAGATTGGTCTGATGCTTTGTTTTGATGGGTGTAAATCAAGTGTATTAGACACTTGGGGTCAGAAATAGTAGCATGTGGAATATTTTCAACATTCTCCAGGTATGATGAGAAAAGTTCATTCAATCAAATGAGACATCAATAGAAACAATATACCGATATGTGCTTATACAAAATCATATGTACTCTTCAGAGCCTGAGAATAACCTAAGAAAAAGAATACACTTCAAAGATTTGAGATCTAACTTTATAAGACAAGGGATCAACCTTTCTAGCAAAACAAGTGTAACCAAATATTGTAAATGAGATAGGAAAAGGTCTTTTTTCTTGGAAATAGGCACCAATAAGTAGCTTTACCATCCAAAATAGAAGACAACATATGATGTGGTACATGCCAAAAAAGGTCAGGCACATGCCTTTGGAATGAAAAGGCCCTTAAATTAAGGGTCATCACTTCTTTCTTTCAGCAATTCTTTTTTGAAGTGGTATGTCTATTCATGAAGTTTGGTGAATAATGACATGTTAAACCATATAAGACTTAAACAAAAAGTTTTCATTTCATCACAAAAGGCACAAAAATGAGATGATAATTAAGATCATTGTTTCATAAAATACAATCAAGTCATACGAGAAAAATCATTAACAAAGGTAATAAAACATTTAAAACCAGATTAGGACACAACACGATAAGCACAGTAAACAGTAGCATAGCCAAATATATATTTTGGGATGGGCGGGTATAGAGAAGATTTTTAGATAAATTTTTGTATTGTTTTACACATATAATCAAAGCGTTCTTTCAAAAAGGAGCATTTTTCTTTTGTTGATTGAAGAACTTAAGCTAGTGCAATGATGTTTCAAGAACTGACATGACCCGCATTGGAATAATGACACCTTACTAAAGTGGGGATGAATTTAAGAACTCAAGCTAGTACGATGCACCTTATTGTTCACGAATAATGAGATTCCCTTTATTTTGTAGTTCTCTAGTTGATTTATTGATTCTTCTACTTCCCAATCCAATATTAACAAGAACTGACAATCCAAAAGCAAAACACAAAGAAAAATACTTGTATTAAATTACTTTTATCAGCACTTCATTGATGCCCTCCTGATCAAGTTTCTAGGGGGATCAGTAGACATGGGAGAACCACCTACTGCGCTGCCATCTGTAATGCGTAGACCTGTCTCGCTTGACTCCAACACACCCATAATGTCTCTGAGGCCCATGATGGCACCCACTGAATCACCACCACCTCGGTTCAGCTTTTCCATGAAATGAAGATTACCACAAAGATACATAACGCCTGCATTTGCAATCTCCTGCTTTTCTTCCAAGGAAAGAAGTCTTCCATCCAGGCCAGACAACATCATCTGTATTGCATCCACATCATTATCAATTTTAGACAGATCACCGCGTACATCGCTAACCTCTGCTCTAATATGTTTTGATATCTCAATTTGGTCATCCAGCTTCCCATCTACATTCTGAATTCTCTGGGTCAAATGCTTCTTTGTTGCTGCTAAGGCATCAGAAACATGCTGCAGATGTTTGGTTAAGTTGGAAACAGCATTTGCCATACTGCTCTTTGTTACATACATAAGGTCAGAGAATGAGATTCCCTTCAGCCACATGTAGCCATACCCTAGGACCCCTAAAGCAGCAGCTGGAGCCACAAGATTTGTCAGGTTACCACTAGAACCCCCATTGAGAACAGTTATTGGTCTTGACGAGGTCAATGATCGCACTTCCATAGCTAAACGACGAACCTGCGCGGCAAGAGCTGCTTCCGTTTCTGTACCTTCTCCAGAACTTTCATGATTTTTCACCAAATTCTGAAGTTCGGCCAAAACATCAGATAATTTTCCGTTCTTCACAAGCAAGGTGGTGGTGTATCCTGCTCCCAATAAGATGACTATCTTAGAGAATCCCATGCCAGCTTGCATCGCCATGGCCGGTGCGATAGACCTTGGAATTGAAGAGAGTAGTTTGTGTGGGCTGGAAAAGAGAAGCGTCGGCCGAGAAGCTCTCGCTGGAGAAGCCAAGCGCCGGCCTAAAGGGTTGCGTCGGCCAGAGATGATGATTGGAGAAGAAAAGCTGAGAAGCCCTAGGTCGGAACGTGGATCGGTGATTTGGGGAAATTGATGAAGCTGGTACTACCCACCAAATTAAATAGAGTATATATTGAGTAAAAACTCAATATATACTTGTCTGAGGGCTTGGGTGGATTTTTTTAGTCAAAACTCAAAACACATTATTGAAAAAATTGCTCAAGATGTACAATCTATATACTCCATAAAAAACATACTTTCTAAAAAATAAATAAAATAGTTAAGTGTGTGAGATGAATATCTCAAACTTCCATATGTAATTTAAATACTTAAACTTTGTATCAAAAATTATTTTAACACAATTATCAAATATTATTCAAAAATGTAACTCTAGCGTTAATTGCATAATTTAAAATATTTTAGAACTTATGAACACACAATTAACATTTTGAATTTCCATTGTGAAACAAATAATGTTCTCACAATTAACATTTTAAATTTCCATTTTAATTTGCTATTTTAAATTATGCAATTATAACCCCATAAATTTACATTTTTGAAAGAAATAGTGCATGACAATGATGAAAAAATAACTTTTCATATGAAGAACCCGTTTGGCAACCGTGTTTTTTGGCTTATCAGGTTTATCAAACAACTTTTTCATCAAACACGTAAATTGTGCTTTCACACGCTAGATTGTGTAATAAGCAGAAAAAGTAAGGTTGAAGTTACTTTTCTGACTGTATTGGCTGAAATTACTGTAGATGACCATTTTAGCTATCTTTACATATAATTTTTTCTTTATTTTATTAATAAAATATATTTTAAAAATAAAAATTTCTTATATCAGTAGAATCAGCCAATGCAGCCACTTCAGCCAGAACTTCATAAATATCAGCAGAATCAGCAAAAACAGCCGATTTTCGTTCTACCAAACGGGCTCGAAGTTTGGGGTATTAGAATTACATATGTAAGTTTTGGGTGTTTACTCCACACCCCATCAAAGTTTGAGGTATTTTTATTATTTTTCCCTACTACAAAATTAGTCATTCATTTAACTTATTTCTCATTTGAATTTTAAAATGAAATTTTGTAAACATAATCTACATCTCATAAAAACATGTTCACAAAATTTCATAAAATATTATCTAGAAGTCCTCAAATTTCATCAACCAGACATCAATGGAAGCACCTCAAATAACCAAGTTCGTACGGTGATTTCTGTCAGAAGTACCTGAGGTGGTCTTTTCTGTATATGTATAGGAGATTGTTCGAATAAAAAGGAGGCTTAACGTGTAAAATAAGAAGTAATCTCAATCATCCAAACTGTCAAGCTTATGCACAATTTGAATAAACTTTATCAGATGCATTTTTCCAATATCTGGATGCGGTGACATTTTTCGTAAATATTGAAAACATGCATCAGGGAAGGTTTATTATGAATCAGATTGATTCTTTGGACATCTGAGATTAATTTTTACTTTACACATTAAGACATATCCAAACTATATATATGTGTGTGTGTGTGTGTGTGTGTATGTGTGTGTGTGTGTATACACACACACACACACATATATATATATATATATGTGTGTGTGTGTGTATATATATGTGTGTGTGTGTATGTGTGTAGAATAGAGATCAAATACAAATCATGCTTAATTTACAAAGTACAAACTTATCTTGACCATCCGATGAGTTGATTAAAGGATGTAAAGGCAAAGTGGCATTTTTGTAATAAAACCTAATTTTTCTAGGGTGCAACTCGTTGAACGTTAATGTGCAGCTGCTATTTTATGACTATACAATATGCAGCACTTTGAATCCCAATATGCAATGCAAATAACGTCAAGGTGCATCGTACAAACATTTGCACAATAAGCACAGTTTGTACTTGATCTTTCCCCTATATGTGTGTGTATATATATATAGAGTAGTCTTCCGGTCAGGTATACCTGACCGGAGCCCCGTCCGGCCTCCTCCATTTGGGGCCCTTCCCGGTGGTATTTTTTGCTCAAATTTTTTGTGTAGGTTCCTCATCAATCTAGTTCATCCATACCAAATTTCAGCCAACAATTCAATCGGGAAGGTCGTCAAACGATTTTTGCAAGTTAACTGGTCCGGAATATGTATTTTCCGGACCAGTTAACTTGCAAAACTCATTTGACGATCTTCCCGATTGAATTTTTTGCTGCAATTTGGTATGGATGAACTAGACTTGATGAGGAACCTACACAAAAAATTTGGGCAAAAAATACCATCGGGAAGACCCCCAAATGGAGGAGGCCGGACGGGGGGAGTGGTCCGGCCTGGCCGGACCTGAATATTAGTCTCTCTCTCTCTCTCTCTCTCTATATATATATATATATATATATATATATATATATATATATATATATAGGGTAAGGTTCAAGTGAGAAGAACCCTTTGGGTGAGAAATGAGAATGAATCTCAGCCATTGGATTCGACTAAGTTGCAGTAAAAGACACTTCATGATGCACTGAAATATGCAATCTAGCACGGTGGCATTTTTGTAAATACTTCTGAAAAATCCGTATTACACGTGTCTAGTGCAACATGAAGCTATTTCGGTGCAACGCCGTCAAATATTAGTGCACCATGAAACAATTTTAGTGCAACATGTGCAAAATTTAAATATTACTGCAACATAAAGCCAATTTTAGTGCAACTTCGTAAATCCAATGGCTGAGATTCGTTCTCATTTCTCACATTAGATGCATTTCTCACCTGAACCAAAATCTATATATATATATATATATATATATATATATATATATATATATATATATATATATATATATATATATATATATATATATAGTAGAGATCAAATGCAAACTCATCTTAATATGCTAACCTACAAACCTAATCCTAGCCATCCATTCCATTTGATCTTACGTGATGTGGCTGTTTAACTTAATCATATGCGGCTGTTTAACATAACCAATTGAGGGTTTTTAAGTCTTTTTAGTTTACTTTAATTTTGAAAAAAAATCACGTTCTCTTTCTGTAATTGCTTCTTACGTTCTCTTTCCTTAACTGCTTCTTCATTACATATTATTTTCTTTTCTTCTTTCTTCGATAATCAAGCTTTAGTTCATTCCCATCTCAAAATTTTGTTTCTTCTTCATCTCCTGCTCCTTCTTGGCCCTCGTGAAATTTTGCATTTTACAAAATCTTTGTTTTTTGTTAACAGGGTAGGTCATGGATTCCGATATTAAACCATAGTTTTGTGAATTCTTTTTTAATTTATCTCCATCTCCTACTCCTTCTTCATCCCCATGAAACTTTGCATTTTAGAAAATCTTTGTTTTTGTTTTTTATGAGATTAATGATATTTTAATGTTTTTTTATTTTCGACTTGATGAAATTCATCAAATTCGTATTTATACAAAATAAAAAATGTTTAAGTTCTACTAGCTTAATCTGCCTGAAATAGTTATGGTGTTCTTACGTTGATCATGTATTATGCATTATGTAACCTCATGAATTTAGTATGCATGTTAGTTGACTATACAATGCAGATGCTAAAACGATAAGATGCAGTAACTTCTAAAGTGAAAATGAGAGCTCATCTGACTATAGTCAATATACGACTTCTAAAATGCACAAGTCATAATGATGATAAAATGCAACATGCATATGAGCTCCTAAAACGCAGATGTCACAAAGTTAAGATGCAGTATGAACATTTAAAGTGCACATAACTTTCGAATAGAGTGCAATACACAAACTTCTAAAATGCACATGTTATAATGATAAAATGCGAGATGTGAACTACTATAACGCAGTTTTGACATATTTATGACTATATAGTTCTAATTTAAGTTATGAAAATATTATAAATATATAATGCATATCTCGTAACTATAATATGCACATCCATTAATCTTATTATGCACATTCTGTAACTTTAATATGCATATACTTTTACATGTGTTCACTTCTTACAAATTTAATATGTTAGAAGTTAATACAAACTATGCATCTTACAAAAGTGCAATATACAAACTTCCAAAATGCACATTTCATAATAATAATATGCAACATGTGAACAAAAAATGCAAATGTCATAACGATAAGATGCAGAATGAACTATTAAAGAGCACATATCATCTTACTTAAGTGCAATGTACGGACTTTTAAAATGCACATGTCATGATGATATAATGCGACATATGAAATGCTAAAATGCAACGTCGATATATTTTATAACTATGCACTTCTAATTTAAGTTATGTAGATATTATGAATGTATGATGCAAACCTTTATTTTTAATATGCATGTCACGTGACATTAATATGCACATCATATAACCTTAATATGCATATCACATAGCCTTATTATGCTCTTCAAGTAAATACATTGTGCTTGAATTAAATTATGTTGAACTATTGACTTATACAATCAATAGCTCTCCATCCTACCATCTTTAAGTTTAAAAATGGATAATTTATTATGAAATGTTTCATTCTATAAATTAACTTATGCAATTTAGACCTCTCCAACTTACCTTTTTTATTATTAAAAAATGGAAGGTTAATTATGAAGCACTTCTACCGGTGTGACTTCTACAAACTTAATATGTTAGAAGTTCTAATATAAAACATGCACATGTTATCAATATATAATGCACATTCCATAGTCTTCATATTTTCGGTTTAAAAGATAAAATATTAATTAGGAAGTGAATAATTTCCAAAAGCAAATATGAAGTGTATAAATGCCTCTTCACTTTTTGTGAAATTTTGAATAATTCTCAAAAGTGGCAAATAAATAATTCCTAAAATAGAGAATAATCACATTTGTTATTGCAACCTTCGTTGATTAGCTAAAAGTTCAATCTTAATCCTTGCATCTTTCCTTTTTTTAATTTGCTAAACATGGGTGGTTTAGATTTTAGTGGTGGGGTTAGCTAAACTCTATGGATTGTATTCCGTATGTGGCTCATCTTTTTAAATCATGGATTGAGTCATTAAACTATTTCCATAAGTAGTTATAGTGGCCGATCACTTCTATTTTCCAAATGACCAAATCATCCTTCTTAGTAACCGTTCTATTAAAAGTAGATAGATTTATTATTAGTCAATGCATTTCATCC